ACATAAAGTCCATTATAAAAGTGAAAATTGCAAACAACAATTTTATAGTTAAGACTAATACAAAACATCTTCCTGTTTCAATATAATCAAATTTTCTTGACGACATTGCGTTTATCCGTCTTTCAATTATTAGACATTTGGACAAGAAGGTTGGAATTTTGTTTCTCTTCAAATACGCTAACAATACGAAACTCATGTTTTGGGTTTGTACTGCAATAAATTCGCAAAGACTTATCCAACTTATTAACGAGTTTTCGAATCCGTAGAAAATAGCGTAAATACAAACATTTGAACTTAAAAAAAATACAGCAAACGGAAAGAAAATCGATTTTTTACTGATAACATGATTACCAATCACTTCATAAATTGGCAGTCCCATATATTTCCATAATTTTATAATTGGGATCGCAAATTCAATTGCGTTTCTTGGTTTCCAAAACATAATATTGATATCTCAGTTAATTAATATTGACTCGACAATACCAACATTGACCATTAATGAAAAGTAGTTTTATATTATTAATACTTTTATACGATGTTAGGAGTATTAGAACACATTTACAAAATTGTAATAAACACAATGAATATGGTGTGGCATACGAAAAACGTATCAAATTATGAATGGCTTATTATTAAAATATGGAAGTACTCAGGACTTCCTGTTTTTAGAATCAAGCAATTACAAAATTTGGAGGATAGAGTAATTGTAAACAATAATTTTTACATTTTATTCATATTAACTTGTCTTGGAATAACAAATGTGACAATGTTTTTAATATTTTGTCAGACTAATATTGGCTCATATAAAATTAAAATGCAGATTCTTATGTTTACAGTAATTACTGTACAGAACAGTATTTTTACATTATTTTTCTATTTGAGAAGAAACGATGTAGCAAAATTACTCACTAAATTTTTAACAACAGAGAAAATGTTTTTATCATGTTTCCCCAAATTTGACTGTCTTGAAATTGGAACTAAATTGACCAAATTTATTTTTATAAAAATGTCTTATACCTTCATTATGATTGTCGTAGATTTCGTATATTTGGCTAAAGATGGACAAGATTATTTGTTTAGATGTTGTTTTTTCTCACAGTTCATATTTTTTTATGTGGCAGAAACAACTTTGATATTTTTCACTTTTCTGCTGCAAAAATTTTATACCGAATTTGGTTTTAGTGTAAAAAATGTTAGACAAAAATTAGAAAATTTTAGTTCTCTTTATTGGATGATACGTCACTTGTCTCGGGAAACAAATGGCACGTTACAATTTTTTATTTTGTTAAAATTTTCGACAGATCTTTTTTTGTTGGCAAATGATTTATTCTTCGGTATGCATTTTATTGTGGCAATAGGTTTAAGTAAAAATATATTTGGGGTTATATGCACATCCATTGTTATTGTTCTTTGGTGTGGTATTCTTCTTTATGTTAATATTACTGTTACCTATATATATGAAAAAATTTCGGAAGATGTAAGTCTTCTGAGTGTGTTTGAATAAAGAAAAAACTTATTTTGTAGGAAATATATTTAATTCATTTAATTGAAGAAAACATACTCAGTGAAGAAAATATTTTATCCTACAAATACGTAAATTTATTTTTGATTTTAAAAACACTAATAAAAATGAGTTCTTTCAGGAAGAAATTTTAAACATTAGGTCAGGATTAATGTCTCCCAATTATTCATTATATGGATTTGTACCTTTAAACTGTAAAGCGATATATGCTGTAAGTTCTAAGAAGTGTGCAAGATGAAACTCATAAAAATTTTTAGATGATATCATTGGTTGTAACTTATGTGGTTTACTTGATTCAGTTCACCCAACACACATATATTTTATAACTAACACACCTGTTTAGGGTTATTGTTCCAGTCAAAAAATAAAATAAAACAATAATATTACAGACTTTTTGTTTTATTTACTGAGTCATATACTTTATGAAATACTCAATTAAATAAAATAACTAATAATCGAATTACTCTTATTTGCTCATAGATTTAAATTGTATGAGATAGACCACATAGGTTATCATTGTTGAAATCATCTGAAAATTAAAGGTTAAAAATGGAATCAGCTTGATATTTTTTTATACCAAATGAAACGAATTTAGATTAATGTCGACAAATCCACACATTGTAAATTTAAGACGGTTAATTTGGTTATCAAGTCTAAATAAATGGATCTGAAAAACAAATTTTCAATTGTCTTCTTTACTTTCTCTAAAACGTACCTGTTTAGTAATACCAGTTTTATTATTATATTTTAACAAATTAATTAAATTATCAGTAATTTTAGTATTCTGAAACAAATATGAAATAATTTTGTTTCTAAAATAACATTAATTTTAAAGCCTACGTAGTGTAAGATGTCTTCAAAATACGAAATGGTTAAAGCAATTAAACTTAGAGCTATTAGAATCCACAAAAAATCAATTATAAAAGTCCATATAAAATCGAGAATCGTTTTATATTCGGCATTCGTAAGTTCATTATTAGATAAACCAACAATAAGAAAAATGAAATCAGCAGAAAATCGCAAAAGCATTAATTCCTGAAAAGTTTTATTAATCTCTAGTGAGAGTTTGTTTAAAGTTTTATAGAATTTTAGTAGTTCTGTTACATGTTGGCCACTCTCCAAATATTTCGTATAATTTTCCAATTGGGCATATAAAGATTTTAGAATAATTAAGAAATAAAAGAGAAACATTTCTGTGAAGAAATTACAATACCAACCCAATTTTATAGTAGAATGCGACTGAAGAGGATTTCTTATCATAATATCATTAACAGTCATTACGATCATTGAAAACAGTTTTGTAGTGTATATTGTCAACAAAGTTCTTGTCATTTTATTAAAATCATGCTCTTTTTTTCGCAGTTTATTTAACGACTGTTGCAAGGAATTGCATTTTTCTATATTAAAAAGAAATTTGTTTTTGTGTTTGTAGCAAAAAATAAGTGTCCCCATGTAGTTTATGAAGGAAGCGACCAGTCGGTACTGGGTGATATATTTTGTAAAACTGTTGCCAGTCCATTTGTCGATAATTTTAAAATAATATACATAGGCAATAATTATAATAATTACTATAACGTAATTTAATTTAGAATTAGTGTGTGTTATGGTTTTAAAATTTGATGTTTTGATTATTTTGTATGAAGGCAAACCAAAATATTTCCAAATTGATAAAATTGGTAACGTTAAGTCGTATACATCTTTGGGTGACCAAAACATTGTTATTTTTGAATTGTAATGAGAGAGAGCATTACATAATTAAATGCATTGTTTGGGGTTATTTACTTAATAATTGTATTATTGCATTACTTATAATTGTGTGTTACACCTATTCATAAATTAATGGATTGTGTTTTGTAGTTTAAGCTGCAGATCGAGGAAAATAAACAAGCGCTTGTTGCAGATGAAAATATTTATTGTATAATGTAACGAATTAGAACATACATTGTGTTTTAATTTAAAATTCGATGCATGTACATTGTAGGAAATATGTACAATAAAGTCGAGTCGATATTAACTACAAAATATTTGAGGGTTTCTTCATGTTCATAACGAGATTAAATGATCATGGTGCATTATATTAAAGGCAATCAAGCCAAAGTTGCTAACAATATTGGCTCTAACCGTACAGAATGGTAAATCTGATTATACTGATAGATGAGGTCACTTTAAAGCCGCTGTTAGCATTGTGGCAAATTGAAGAACAAATTCTCGAAGCATCATATTTCATATAAATTAAAACGATCATTTTATATGAAATACGGTGAACATTTTGAGCATGGAATTTTTTAGAATTTTTTCGAAAAAACACGACAATTAGGCTATATTTACAAAGTATTTAGAGAAAAACGGTGCAATTCTTACAAGTTTAAAACGGTGTCACATAAAATTCCATGCTGGGTCAGAAAATCAGAATTTGAACAACTTTCTCGTGGGAAAAGCGGTACAGGAATTGTCTATTTCAAGCCAAAAAGTTTGTATTTTTTAATTAATTACTTTGGACAATGTCATTGAATGAATAGTCTAGGTTTTTTTGGGTAGTTATTAGATTATTATTAAAATTGGTTCAAAGCTGTTCAGTCTGTCATCACAGTGTCTGCTCTATCGTGCATGTTGGCATGCTACGGACTATTCTAATCGATTATAATTATAAATATTATAAATTAATTATAAATACTTCGATTACAAAACACAATTTTTTGATCCTTACATTATTTACAATATACATTGAAATTCATCGAGTCGACAATAACTAAATAAATAAACTTTTGGATAAGACTAGATAAAAATAGACAACAAAACTTCAACAATTTTCTATCCCTTTATACAAAACTGAGCTTTTTGCATATAAAATCTCTTGGAATGTGAAAGAAATTCATTGAAAATGGACAACTGCCAAAGTCGATAACACACCATTAAATCTTTATTTTTAATGTCCTCACTTAACAAAACACTCAACAACCCGTCAATTACGACATATAAATAAAAAAAAATATTTTCGATTAAACTATCATTTAATGTAAGACAGCAGTGTGAAATTAAGTGGTTTAGAATGTAATCCAACTTTGTGTACAGTGGGTCAAAATTACATAACTTTCTGGACACACTGTACATGCGCTTACATCTCAGGTACGCTTTACACAAATATCAATAATCACAGAGGTGGTACGCAACACATTTAAATTGCAATTAAACTAATAATAATGCTTCGAATGGCACGAATTTTTGGTCACATTTGGTAGTAAGACACTAGTACACATAATTGCCGATTTGGTCCATAATCTTTGCGATTATTGCTAATTTTTGATTAAATTTGACCTGACTGAACCATATGGAATTAAAGGATAGTAAGTATGTGTACCAGGTTTAAACAGGAAAATAACCAAACGTGGCTTAAGTTAACGATATAAAACTATAAATCCTCGACCCATTCCGATGTAATCTTCACACGTGATGGTGCTTTTTGATGAATTAAAGTTGTTCTAGCCATGTCCTTAAACATTTACAAACAGTTCAACTAATGAGTAACAAAATTCACCGCTTCGTGTAATATCACAATATGTAATGCACAAATTGATTGAAAAAATGTGTGTGTATACATAACTTCTATTACAATTATCTGTCAAAATATCAATGATTTTCAAATATACTATGTACAGTGCTTTTGCAGCTACACGTTTTGCGAACCTTCTGTATAAATTGCAACAAATTGGTATAGTAGAAGTAGATAAATATATGTATGAAACCAACCACACTAAACCATCGTCATGGCTCTTCATTCTTCTGATCACACTGATTTTTTAAAATGCTTGATATGTACCTCGTATTATTATCACTTATGTGAGTCAGAGTGAGTGTAACTGCTGTAGTGATAGAAGAAAAATATTAGAAAAACTGCAAAGGCGGTCGGGAAAGTAATCCGAGCTATAACGTCTATAGTCTTTGCCACACGTATCGGATGGGGAGGCTCCTTTTTTCGCACCTGCAATAAACAAGACTACTCCAGGTTAGACTATTGTGGAGAGAAATCGACTACACAAAGCTCTAGTACTAGCAAGCTTTCGCAAATGCAACAGCCCTTTCATCAAACGCTCAAAAATACTTTTCCATTCTCTCAAACATTGAAGGGATTAAAAATAATCTGATGCACTTAGAGAAAACAATTTCGATTTTTGCTAAATCGTTATTAAAAAATGTAATTTAAAAGCTTTTTTGCCGGTCCTAATCAATAAATTTATTTTGTTTGGATGTGCAGAATCTACGTCGACAAATTTCTCCCTCGTTACACAACCAAAAAATCCTTGGGGTTTTCAGAGATTTCGGATAAAAGATGAAATTTAACAACGTTATCACTTCTACACTTTGTAAGAAAATACCCTTTATCAGACCATTTTATTTTATGATTGCTAGTTTGCTCTTTTACACATCGTGGTTATTCGTTTGTACTGCTTACTATCCTAATTTTTCTAAATCTAAATTTTGTGGGCTGAATACATTGTGCAGTGGTTTGTAAAATAAATACTTCTGTGAGAAATAAGTAACTATTAATTTTCATCTTGATTATCTTTTCTAAATAATGTTTGACGTAAAAAGAGTGTTTAACAAACTATTCTCGAACGCTCGAAAACTACTTTGAGGCACTAAACAGGAATCTAATCAGATTTATCGTAAAAGCGTTAAGGAAGAGCTCTGCATCTGCTATAAAGTTTCTAGTTGCGGCGACACAAAACAAGAACTTTGTGTAAATTTTACCTCTGCTGCACAGCCGTTGTTGGCCGTGTGAGTGCAAGGATTTGGTCCACAATTGGTGCAGGATACGATTTCATTCGCAACTCCAGTTGAATCCCTTTTTTTATCTCCCTAGAGAACAAGCATATTTGACACATCAATAATTCAGTTAGACTCGCTTGATTCTGATATTTATAAATATTCATACAAATACTGTACAAAAGGAAAAACATAAAACAAAATTTATCTTTTTTAATTAAATCACTTTTATACAAAAACGTAAAATAAAAATAAAGTAATTTACGGGGAATAGCGTATGTTTTGTAATTCCATCTGTAAACTTACTCTATATTGAGGACTTTCACAGAATGTGGAATAATATTCTTGTTCGGCTGTTTCCTACCAATTAAAATAAAGACAGTAATGAAATAAAACAAATCATAAATGAAATTAACAAATCTAATTTCTCACTCAAGTATTATTTATTAAATTATTTTATTTTCTATGAAAAATTATAAAACTTATAGGTACAGTCGGTTAGGGCACATTTTAATTTTTAGTTTTATATTAGTATTTTATCGTTGGTACTTTTTGTGCAGTCTATTCTAACATAACAAAGACATGCAAAGCAGTGTTTTACGTTTAACACATTGATAGTATGTTTGGATTTACTGCTTGTCTTGTAATAGAGAATGAAAGGATAAAGGAACATGAATTATGAAAAAGTGATTATGATTTTTGTCTGAATTCTTTAAAAATTACTTACCCTATTTGATAAGAAGTTTTATTTTTTACTGAAACAAATTACATAATTTCTTTCCAACATTATTGTGCCAATGAAGAATGAATAAGTATATCTAACTCATTTATTTGAGCCTAAAAGATAATTTTGGTACTAAATATACTAATATAGAGAAGATATTGTTTCCTAAAAAGCTGAAATTGAAAAAAATCAGTGATGGGTGTTTTAAATCTTTATACTTCTTTACACTTTACACAAGTTCTTTACATACGCCAACAATGTAAACAATGGTTTTAATAGCATTTATAAGGAAAGATAAACACATAAATTTGCTTAATTATTTTTTTACTTACATTTAGCGCAATGTTGATTAGTTTCTAACGAAGTCTTCTCGCTGATTTCAAAATTCGTTCTTTGCCTAGAATGGAGTATCCTGAAACTTTATTTTAAAACTAACTAACTAAAGCATTAATATTCTAATGTACAATCAGATCAAGGTCTGTAACAATACAACTACTACCTAAGTACGTATGCCGACTACTTTATCAACGGGAAACTTCAACTCAGGCTTACTCAAAAGGATAAAACTAAGTTTTTTGTTCCTTGACGTACCACACAGAAGTTTAAACTTTACAAAAACCGAAATTTATACATCTACTTTGTTTACATTGTTGTCGTTTACTTAATTGGCGAAGTTGCAAATTCCCAGCACTGAGAGAATGTGAAAGATTGGAAATAATTCTTGCTGCAGTAGCGTCGAGAAATCGCTTCCACATCAAATCAGAAATTTCTGGTTCTGTGTGGAAACCCAGCATTGCGAAGCGAAAATTAGTGTTGTTATCCACTGTTAGTGGTGTTTAGAAGAGATATATGCCATGATGGAATAGAGATAAAAAGAAAAAGAGAGAGAGAGGCCTATAGTAGAAAAAAATGTATGTTCTCGAAGCGCTGTCGTATTATCAGAGACACATACAGCCTGTCTTTAGGGCTCATCATGCGCATGAACATACCACATGCGCATGCAAGGCGGGTCTGTCGCAAGTGCACAGTGATTTAGGCTTGGAGGGGTATTTTAGCTAAAGTATCCTAGGCTTACCAAGGGACTGGCCAGAATTATGCCTATCCTGCTGAGAACAGCGGGCAGTCGCTGCAACATGACAGACCAAACAACGTACAATCTTATGAGGAGCCACTGGTATAAGCGTGGGCCATTTCTGCCCTTAATAATCAAAAAAGAAATTTAGAAATATCATGCTCGATTAGATGCCAATTCGTGTTAATTGTAGCTGGTGGTAGTCGGTTTATTTCTTACGTATTATGTTACTTTCGAAAATTTCTTCATTTCTGCACGCTGTTATAGTATTGCCTTGCATAACAACACCAAACAATGTGAAGGAAAAACTAGATACGTGTTTCGATACAAATATACCTAAAAATGTATGACAGGGGTAACAACTCCTATGCTATCTCATAGTTCTAGTTTCTTCTCCCACTTTAAGCAAAACAAATTGACGAGTTTAGCAGACTTGGTTGAAGCACAGTAACTAAATCAAAAGTGTGTCCGTTTTTACTCACCACGATGAGATTTTTTTTATCGATCTTTTAGAGGCAAATTTGCTAAAAAACCTAACATCTAACTTTTAGGAATAGCTATTATTTTTTTTCTAATCTTATTAAATTAATATGTCTGGAGTTTGAAGAAGTTAGTTTTGAATCAAACTTGCCTTCATATTGTTATGTGATAAGAGCCTTTTAAAAGCCACAGAGTAGTTAGCAACAGAAATTCAATTAACTGGTAAAGAATGAGTGTGTTGGTTGTTGAAATGTTATGAGCATGTCACATGCGATTACATAAAACATTTTCATTTCTATTTAATCGAATTCTTGCAAGTTAGTGTTATATTCAAAGCTTCTCTCCCTCTGTTTTTGGTGTGAATTGAAACCGCATTTGTAGGCAACAGCAATTGGCTTAATAAACGTCGCTACAACTTCTTTAGTTTTAATTAAAACAATCTATTATTGTGTGATATTTACTTTGGGAAATTGTATGTTGTTACATCATAAAATTTTTAGGTATATTAAAATAACAAGCATGCACTTTCTAATTATACATGCAGAATAGAAGAGAAGAAAGTAGAATGTAGAAAATTGCAAGAATATGAGTGTATTAAACAAACACTGTCACACAAACTGACACAAAAAGTGATAAACTTCCCGATGCAGTTTAAATTTTTTTAAAAGTATATACATTAATGTTGTTTTTTAATCGTAAAGAATTATTTATTCCACACTTATGATTTTCTTTACACAAATTTCGAGGAATGTATAAAATTAGACAATAAGAAAGAACGAAAACGAAACAAAATAAGAAACAACGACAATCTGGAACCACAGTTATTTTTTATGTTTCTATAAAAAAGTTTTGTCTTGATTATGGCTCAGCAGCTCTAATAAGATTATGAGACTGACCTGTATTACAGGATTTTCCCCAGGTCGATAGACGACGTTGTGAAGTGGTCGTTTTCTTCCTACGTAATTCACACATACGAATTCTAATAAGGACGCGTAAATGAAACACATGCACACACCGTCCCACACATTCATGGCAGTCAAATTCGAAACCACCGGCAACGTTGAACGGAATCCGTTTGAGGTTGTGAAAAAGTTGAGCATTGTTGTCACACCTACAACAAAAACACCACATTTATCAATATTTTCTAATTGCTCGTTGGTGGTGCGTAAATATTTTATAGTCTTACCTATCATGACACGGGCCGGTACTGCATTCCATTCCAACCAAAATGTGATGAATGATGATGTTACTAGTATAATTCCAGGTATGAATACTGTCGTGAAGTAGAACGCTCGATCCCGTGTAAATATTAGTCTAACCCCCAGGCAACTGTAGTTTCCTAAATTTTGGAATAACTGAATTAAACTGGCTGAGTTATACTTGAACATACTGCGAATGCGTTAAGTCCACAAAGATGATGAAACTTAAATTTGGATCGAAAGCGGAGTAGGTAATCAATTTAGTTTCAGCATTTTTAGTGATTACTCTCTAAACAAAAGTTAATTTTTAATACCTACTACCAGAGTTTGAGAGCGAAATTAAAGGAAAACAATGTAGCAGCTATATGCCGTGCAATAAACACGATGCACAACTCAAAGTAGATGTAAACATATACCTTTAAACTGTTTTTGACAGAGATCACAGCCATGGTGCCCATCGTCATCTGCCGGTACGTTTCCATCTTCTGCTGCAACACATACATTCTAACCAAACTACTCGTAACCAAGCCATGACCAAAGCTGCCAAGCTTATGAAAAGACTATACAATTTTTCGAAATTTAAATGAACATTCAAAAATGAATCTACATGGAGTTGTGCATGTTTGTGCTTTAACATTTCTCTAGTCAAAATTAATATAAATGTGGTGCAAATTTATGAAAATGCAGCATTCAAAGATTCAACGAATGCAAATGAGGAATTTTTATCACACCCACGATAAATGTATAGCCACGCCAGAAAGATTCGGTTTTACTCACCCCTCCAGTTATTTTTCTGGTTACATTCTGACGTTTGATTTTTAATTAAATAAGCATTGAGTGTGGCCAGACTTGAAGACTTTTTTAACACATCTTCATCATTTTTCCACACATACTTAATACTTTTCATTTCATAAGATACTGAAATGTCGCATTTCAGTAACTACAAGTTTCCTTTCTATTCCAACACTTACTACTTTCCAACGAAAACGAACATTCCGGATCGTCGAAAGGAAAAATGTTTAAGTGTCCTTGACAAGATAAAATGAGATGTCTCCTAAAATAAACACGTGCAATTTTTTCGAAAAGTGATAAGAATGAGTCAAACTCTCGATATTACATACCGCATTGAATAAAAAACCGTCCCGTTACGATATATCCGTAGGGAAAAGTGCATTGGTATCAGAGGGTCTTTGAAGTCACCGTGCATGATGAAATAGGTGTCTGGTAACCAAATATCGTTGTGATGGTGAATAGCGTTGAGGAAATCGTATCGACTTTGGTTTGAATATTTCAACCGGGGATCGAACCATTGTTGTTGCAGGAGGAACTCTACTTCGTATTTCTGTAACAGAAGTGAATAAGCAACTCGGTCTTTTCGACTGTTTCACAAAACTGCACAAGATTATCAACAAAAGAAAAAGAAAGTTAGTCACTGAAGAATAAATATCGATTACATTACCAACAAAAAGCTCCACTTACCAAACTGGACTCGTCCGGAGACGCTAAACTAAGCAATAAGACGCTAACGTCTACCTTGACGGTCTCTGAAAATAAAGCATTTTTTATAATATAGGAAGAGACGAGAAAAATAGACATACATAGAGCTATGTGCACGAATTTATATTCACCTAAGAACTAAATCTAATTTTTGAAGGTAGACGTGAAATTTAATTTTCTCAAACCCTACTCTCACAGTAATGCCGTTTCAGGGAAAATTCTAGTATTTACGTAAAACCTCTAAAGGTTTTTAGTCCTAATATTATTGGTGCTTTAGAATAATGTTAAGCAAATCATGCGTCATTCAAATGTCGGCATGCTAAACTTTGCTACCTTTTACTATTTCAGATCTGTCTCTACGAATGGCCAAATAAGCGATTTGGTAAAAACTTGTTAAAACCAGATTTGCGGTTTGAGAATGATTGTCATCTGACTATAATCTGCCACGGTTTATGAATTATCAATAACGTTTAATTAAGTGATGGTAGTTGTGTTTATAAGTTAGATATTGATCACACTGTTAATAATTAACTATTTATAGCACATGTCATACTGATTTAACAATAAACTGTTAAATTTAGATATCAAGCTATTGTTCAACATAAGAGACTTTGGCAAAATTTATAATCGATTCCATGCACAACACAAAGGATTCATGCAACAAAATAGTGCAATATTTTCCCATAGATTGATGCAATTTTGAACCCTTTTAGTCAAAAATGTAGATTAATATAAATGTTGGTTATTATATTGATTTAAGTTTTGCGGCCTTGACCTCAAAACAAACATTAAGTGGAGTGTACTATTTGTATTTAATGAAGATAATTTATTTGTCAATGGAGGAAAATGATTTAATAAGGGTAAAAATTTAATATAGTTGTTGAAACATCTGGAACACTGAGTCATATAGATTCCTTAAGTAATCTATCTAAGCTACAAAAGTGGTATTTCATATGGGGAAAAACACCAACATTCAACATCGAGAAGATGAATGCAATGCACATAAGCATTTAGAAAGGTTTTATTGAACTACAGAGTTAGGAGTAAAACTACATTGATTAAAATTTGGTTTGGTATACAGGGCATATTCCAGAGAAAACTTTTAACTGAAATTCTTTGGAACACAATAACTCATTCATTTCATGATTAGATGGGATGATCACAAAACCAAAAACGTTTCATTTCAAGATACTGACATGACATGCCATTTAAGGTGTTTATAAAATGAAGAAGACGTGCTAAACAAAATTTTGAAATGTTGTTCACAAACAATGCAGTTTTTTATGTTGGTGGAGAGTGTGAGACGTTGTCGAGAGTGTATTTCACCTAGTTCTTAGTGCTCTTGAGAGTATCAAAAGTGTCATTATAACATAATAACTTTTAACAGTTATCTAGTCGCTCTGTTGTTCTCAAGGATGTCTAGGAAATGATATGTGGCAGTTTCAAACATGATCACTAACGCAATAATATCCGATTATTCCAATTGTCTAATGGATTACTTCTTCTTTAAGAGATTGCGATAAAAATTTAGTTTGGTGCTTGGGTTGATTCCAACATTAGACGAAGGACAATCTATCCTTGGATCAGAATTAGAAAAATATTGCTGTTGCCACAACAAAAATAGCGAAATTAAATAAATAATGTATGTGGTGGTATGGATCGATGATGGATGATTTTTAATATTCATTATCTGTTGTTACCGACTCGATGATAGATCGTTGCAAGAAAAACCAACAAGCGAATACCCTGCATAACATCTCGTATAATTTGATTAGAGCTCTGTAGTTCTCAATTTAAGCAGAGGAGAAAGAAAAATAGAATTTAGTGTATTTTCTAACGGTGATAGAAACAAATAACGGACCACGCTGTTTGCTGCTTGAGATGTTGCGCATTTCAAACTCGGCATCCTCGGGTGACTGCAGGCCACAGCAGAAGTCCGCATCTGTAACAGCAACAGCCACATGACAAATGTGCGATGGGTTCGGACTTGGAAGACTGTCATTGGATCCAAACCGACTTTTTGACCCATCATAATGCAAAAGTAAAACATTTTGTAACGCAATTTGCAAACTGAAATGAATACTGATGGCTAATGGAGTAAAATGATCCCTTATTTACATTTTTGTAAATATTAGAAAATCATAAATTCTATTCCGAATAGAATGCACGATATCCTATTTTATGTGCATAATTCAAAAGCGAAATAGGTTTTTATTCTATTGATTTAAAGTCAAGTCACAAATGAATATTTTATTTGTTTCTAGTCTAGATCCATTTACCGTCTGGCAGTTCCAGCTGCTCCGATTCTTTGTTCTAGTCAGCTTTTATTGATCTATCTCTAATTGTGATCATTTTTGTTTTCTTAAAGCCACAAAGGATGTTTTTGATGAAACAAGTTTAGTTTTCAAGAAGTTTGCAATAAAATCAATATAAAACAACGAGAGCTATTTAGTTTCTTAAAAACTAACAAAATTTAGGCATTTGGATTAAACTTTTCCTCACGAACGTGCTGTGGTTGACAAAGAAAATATTTTTCAATAATTTTTCTCTTTCAACTGGTTTAGACAGTTTCCCCAACAATAATTGTACTTCTTTCTAAAATATCTTTGCGTGAATTAAGGTTGTTAAGTACAGTTTATGATTTATTACCGTAGCGCTTTTATGGTATGCTTGATTTTCATATTCTTCGAAAGCTTTAACTTTTCTCTTCACGTGATATATTAACTTGTCTTGAAATAATGCGAAAATCTTTACGAATTTTGTTTTATTATTAGAAAAGTCTTTAAAACACCTAATACATATCTATTCTTTATTGTGCTGTTGAAAGGATAGGTTCTAATTACTTTCTGTTGAAATTACCTTAAAATTTAAGCACAGTTTTTAGTATTGTGTAGGTAGTAATGTATAGGGACAATTATGGTCGTAAAACGAATAAAGTCAGCTTCAATCGAAGCCGTTGAGTGTAATTGGCTTTAATCTTTACAATTTATCAATAGTTTATTATTTCGATAAGCTCCTTATGGATCAGTAAATATTTATGTCTGTGTACGTAAATTTTGTAATCATCATTTCGTTCAAGTAGGGCATTAAAAAAGATCCACCTTAACTGTATTGAGGGAGATTTATGCCCGTAATAACATTTTTGCTAAATAAAAAAGACGTAAACTATAATCGATTTCTGATAAATTCCAACTAGAGGTGCTAGAGATAAAATAGTTTTTTTCTTTTAGTTGTAAAATCGATTCGTAAAATGCGACACGATGGCATTCCTCATCACGACTCCTATCTATGTAAATCTCTTCCAAAATGTAGGATTCCGGTTGGATTCGGGTATGGCATGTTTGAAACAATTCCGGCGGTTTCCCCCTCCTGTTACTTTAGGCAAAACAAATCGCTAAAGAAGCGAATTTTAATTATACGGGTGTAATCGCCAATAAACGAAGATAAGAGGAAGAAAGAGCAAAAATTTATTATGTTATTACGCAAGCATTAAAAGCTCTAGGTCTGAAAGTAAGCAAAAAAATCGTGCAAATGAATAATTCTGCACTTACCTTGCACCGGAGGCAGAAGCCTCTTGTCGTAGCGGGTAGCCCTTAAGAGATTATCCAGGATTTCCTTGTCGGATTTTCCGTCTTCGAAGCTAAAACAAATGATAAAAGAGGTGTTGCGGGTGCATTTTTACTTTGATTTCTTACATGTCGGACAAGGCCAGCGTTTGCCGTGTCACAAGAAGTATAGCAGCCGCGCGAACTAGCATCCAAGGCTGACCCATATTAGGACATCTGAAAAGGATAACTCAAGATTAAAAGATGAGATAAGGACGTGGTGAGAAATCCAAAGGCAATCGTTGTTGAAGTTGACAAAAGAAATTCGCACACGTGTAGCGAAACGATTTGGAGATGAGATGAGAGAGAAGTTTTGTGTTGCTATTAGCTATTAGCTGGCATTAACAAGTTTTTTGAACGTTTCTATTGTCATCTGCAATATTAAATTGTGACGTTTTTTAGGTACAATTATTTCCATTTTTTTCCTTAGGAGTTAGAGAATATATTGCGCAATTTTTTGGGTGATAACAACGGTGGGACTGGCGTTTGAGGTGAATTTCGATATCATCAACGAGGACGTGGATAGGCTTCTTAAAAAAATTATTACGACGAATACAAGGGTTTTCTCAACTCCTAGACGAGTAACCACTTTATTATAAGGTTTTTAGAGAGGCAAGAATAATAAATTTTTTCTTAGAATTCTGAGACTTCTACGATTTTTATTTTCGATAATTTATTTTTAATTTGATAAAAAAGTGGTCACTTTTTTATTTATTGTTTACATTAGTTATTATTTTTTATAAATCATTATAATTTCCATATTAAGCATTAAAAATTTATGAAATTACTTTCTGTTAAATATGAATACATGTATGTTTTAGAAAATTTGAATTTAAAACAATGACTAATTTCCGGACTTACATGATTGAAAATTACTAAATTATTATTCAGTTAGTAAAACAAATAATTTGATTAAATATTATTTTATGTTCGGTATTAAAATACAGTTACTTTTGTATGTGATATGTGACAATTTCTCACTCAAACAAATTAGTTACTCTTAAGAAGAAAACTTTTAATTTTTTTGTATTCTATTAATAAAGCTCTCTTGTCTTATCATTTTTCATGTACCCTCAAGGCTTTATAAACTCAACTTAATGAAACTTTGTAAGTGGCAATATTACTGCTCATTTTTGTTAAGTATAGTATCCTTCTGTTAGGTTTTATTAAATCGGAGAAAATTAAGTTCAGAGTTGATGCAAATAAACGGTTCAATTATACCAGTAGATTTAGGTAAGTTTTCTTTTATGCAGTAGACGTTGGGAAGTTTATTGTTTTGGGAAACTTGGTGAACAACGTAAATGAGATACATATTTTGTTAAAAAAAGAAAAAGAAATTGTTACTTTAACACTTATTACTTAGTTGTATTGTTCAAACTACGGTTTTAAGAAAATTGAGTTTTGTTCTTTAGCGTTATGTATAAATTTTTATTGGTGTGTGAGAGCAGTTTATAAAGCTCGGTTCGAAATCTCAACAGATTTACTCAAATAGCATGTATTTAACGAACGAGAGTAAACTTCAGACTTTAAATAGCTGTATAAAAGCAAAACAAATAGAACGTTCTCGGCATTTTTGTATAAAAATTTTGGACTTTATTTTTAATCGATTTCGATGATGGACAAGCAATTAATTCTGGTTGACATTTAAAAAAGCTTTATAGAGGCAGGGTTATAGGTCGAAGCTCACACATTTGTAATGACGGAATTTTAAGCTAAAAGCTACTAAACTAGACCAGACATAATTTTATAAACTTGGGGTTTATTACATAAAAGGTTAAAGTTTTTCACTGCACTGTTACAGAAACTAATAATTTAATTAATTTTCCGAAACATTCCGGTAAATTTAATTAATTTTAGAGTTACCATGTCTAGATTAGTAAATTAAATACAAATTTTTTGTACATAGTTATTTCCGACAGAATGATAAAAAAACAGAGTTTGTGTCGCTTTTCCGATTAACATTTTCGGTAATCTTCCTCCCTTCTACACTCGATAAATTCTTCTTTAAGTCATTACGTGAACAAGCTTTATTTGTTCCTAGCTAATAAAAACGGGCATTTATTTCTTTTTTTATTAAACTCGTTCCATGTTTTTAAACATATTTTATTTTGCATAAACCTTTTAGAGTGAATTTATTCAAAATTAAAAATTATGAGAGTTTTTAGATTGGATACTACCTTAACCTATAGCAGGTTTAAAGTCCCCGAGAAAGTTAAAAATAATCATGAAGCCACTAAGCTAATTGGGGCGGCATCGCATTAACCTTTCTTTACTTAATATCTGGAGTGGAAGTTGGCCGTTTCCGAAACAAACGTCGAGGTCAGGTGACGGGAAATTACTCAAACTACAAGAAACTCATCGTAGATCTTTATATCCTTTTTTTATCGATCTAGAGGATGAGTTACTAATCAAATTACTTACTAACAGGAAATTGTCGAAGTTGTCGACAAAGATAATGCAATTTTGATTGCAGTGAAGCTACTCGAAGTTATGAAACGAAACTTTGTTATGACGAAACTGTATGTGTTGATTAACAGGATAAACTTGGTCCTTGAGGAGTTTTAACTGCTTGATATTCCGGCCTGAATATGTTGGAAGATTTATGTTTCGAACGAACAGAATTAAGAAAAGTTTTTAGGGTGTCTCAAACTTGTTATGAATTGTGCTAATTTTTATTTTGAATTTAACTTTTGTGGTTTAAACTTTTACTTGACAATATAGTTAAGAATTAAGTTGGTAATCGACACTAAAAATATAACTGTTTATAAACATTTATCGAATAGAGTTAAATTATTTCATTCGTAAAAAATATGCCTACACGTAAGAAATATGAAAAGTTGGGTTGCTATAATTTAATTAAATTTGACTTTAGGGAAAATGTGGTTTTCCGGAATTTGATGTGAAATAAGTCAAATATAAGTGTCCTCTAGAGATATCTCTAGCATTTTATTATTTACGTTTTTGCAAAGAAAAAATATCAAAAGTTTTAGTAAGTTTTATTGTACTGACAAGAGTCAGTATTTTTTTTTTTTTTTGAAAAATGTATTAAGTAACTAACTTTTTCATCATTTTAAAAAGTGAAGAAAAAAAATTCGAGCAATTTGGAAACTCTTCTGAAAAAAATTGAGTACTTATTAACATGTTTTTCACTCTAGAATGGATAGTAAATCATACACAGACGATTGAATCTACCGATATTTTATTCCTCGTTTCATCCTGTCTCAATACCTCAAGAACTTTATGTGTGGTTCCTTGATTTATAATATTGTCCCTATCACTGTGTATTTCATTTAGAAAAATAACTTATTATATAGAATATAGAAAATATATAATATAGAAAAATAAATTATTGCAGGTTGTTTGAACAGTCCAGTCAATGAACCATCAAAAGAAGTTGTAGAATACAAAAATTTTTGATTTTTGACCTGTGTTTGGACTAGTTAGAAGATTAACATACTAACAGTCTTTGATCTAGAACTTACAGGGGCCATACTAGTTTTGATACAAAAAAAAACACGAGAAAACCATCTTGTAGAAAATTTGTAAGCTTTAATTTTGTATAAAACTATATTTTTTGTAATACCGTTTCTTGGATATGAGCACAAAAGCATAAAACACCCTTTGAGCTTCGCTTACCTCAGAACACTTTCGGTATGTTTACTTCTAACACAAATAGAGTCCTGAAGTAAAAAATTCTGTTCCCAACCATGCCTTCTGTTAATTGGACTAGAAATTGAACGTGCCTTGATTAGTCAAAACCGTTAAAGTGCAACCCCATCGTTTTTAGTGGCAATTAAGCAAATTGCTTATCCAGAAAGAAACGTTTCATTTCTGGCACTGCGTCTGCTTCTGTGCCGGTGAACCGAAGTCGAGTAAAAAGGTTTCGTCGGCTGGCTTGTGTCATTTGCAAAGATTGACAAAGTTTTGTTAGATTTAACCATGGTGGAGGTAAAGAGGCAAATCGTGGTTGTTTGCCCTCGGCGGCCGTGTACTGTCGCGACCGACCTGATCAATAGTGTGCTGCGGAACACCACACGTCTGCATAGACATTGTTAACTTGAATTCTTTGACGATTGACCTCTAAATGGCTGTCTGGCATACCAAGCAATTCGTGGCGTCAGACAGGTTGAGATAAGCCATAATGAAAAATTAAGACAAAATTATGGTTCCGATGTGAAAGAGAGTTTTTTTCTACTTGCAACTTTTGTAACTTAATTAGACTAAATTGAGCATTTAGCTAAATTAATGCATTTTTTGCAATTTACCGAAATGTCTAAAATAATTATTTTACCGGTGGTGACACAATATGATCGATGGTTCGACAAGAAACAATTATTGTTTGTTGAAACATGTTTACACACAATTCCTTAATTGGGTGTAAATAAGGTGTACCTTGGTGACTCTATTTGACAAGTTGAGGCAATTTTTGCTCTACTACATATTATAGTAATCGAGTTTTTGCAATACATAATACCATTACATTTTTAGCAATAATTTTTAATTAATCCTTCTTTGCCTAGAGATTAGTTTGTATGATTGTTATGTCAGAATTTTTAATTTTCTAATGAATTACGACAATAAGTAATATTATACACCTAGCTGCGTGTGTATTAATCTGATACAATTACAATTGTTTCTAATTACCCGCTTCTAGAATAATGAAAAATGAAGAAACTGACGTGAGTGTAATCTAGCAGAATGTTTCAAGGTAATGCTATAAAAAGGAACATATATCGCTCAGCATAAATCAAATCAGAATATGGATTACGCCCGGAAATGTATCATTTTATTTATTTATTAGGGTAATTTATAAAAGCACTGCCGTGTTTTTTCAATTTCTTTCATAACTGCATTCAGTATCACATTTTTGTTGAAAAAATAAAAAACTTTGATTTGGCGTGTTTGTAGTTAATTTAGAGATAAAATTTGGTTAATTGTGCACATTATTTTTTGAATATTTCACTTTTATAAATACATCCTAAAGTATTGTTCCTATCTATTATTTACAAAATTAAATTATTAAATCTTTCCTATTAATTTGTATTAAACATAAATACTATACACAGATATAGAAAAGTAGAGAAATATTCTTATTAAGAATTTGGCATTTTAGAATACAGTTGAAATAAAATTCCTCCTTGCAATAAAGTATTACAAAAATTATTATTATAAAAATGTTAAACAGTTAGGCAGTTTTTAATAAAAAAACTAAAAACCTATTTTCATTGTTATTTCTTTCAATTCATCTTGTTGACAACTTAGCTAAAAAAATCAAAAACTGTAACTGTAGAAACTAGAAAATGTGTTTCACGTTTAAATGTCAACAGAATTTTTGTGCACCCACGCATCTGAAACACCAGAGACAGTTATTTTTAACCCACCGTAAACACTGCGATTTTTTTAGAGCGTCTGAAACTTCTTCTAAATTTCAAAATCATCTGATGCTGGTTACATTTGCCAGATATCTTATTTCTCAAATTAATCCCTTGACGTGTAATTAAAACTCAACTAAAATACCAGGTCGGAGGAATTTCTAGACGTAACATCAACGAGGAAAAATGTTAACTTTTATTTTACTTCATAGTATTTTTTTACGATGGAAGTTAATTTCCTACTTGAGTTGAATACAAACAACAGCAAAAAGCAAAGCTAATAAATTATCAGGTAAAACACGAGCAATAAAAACAATACTATTGATTATGTAAACTTGTCTTAAGTGCAGTGGAAGTCTTTTTTCAGTCTTCTGTTTTGGAAAGATTTTAGCTATTCAAGGGCAATATTGTGAATATAAATCTAAAAATGGAAAAATAATATTTATACTTGAATCGGTATCCTGCTCTAGAATTAAAATTACATTTGAAATTACAAATATTGTACCATACACTTTTATCAGGTTATTTTTACAAAATTCATAACCGCTAAATGAGAAAAGATAACGCGTGATTTATATTTCTTAAGGTATTTCCGGAACGCCAAATTCTTTCGATAAATTTTAATATTGTTGCCGCTTTTTTATTTTTTATCATACGTTTCCATAAACGTAACAGAAGCATTATAAAACAAGTTGTGGTTAATTTTATTTAGTATTAATTAATTTTCGAATACTGATATGTTGAGGACACCGACCATTATAACTTGCGTATATTTTAATTGGTAACATAATATCAATGATATGATAATAATTATTGAAATTGCTTGGGAAGGCTAAAAATTAATTTTTGGTTCAGTGTAATTTTTGTTTTATTACACTTCATACTATCTTTAGTTTTACGAAAGATAAACTAGAATAGCAAATTTCTATTAAGTTAGTAACATAGTGTTAATTACGCAGTTTCCTAGCAGACTGATGATGTAATAAACGAAATTAATTTGTACATTATTTGTCTTCTAAGCCCTTTGTTAGAATCTACATTAATGCAGGTAGTTATGTAACCCGCAACTAAAGCTTTTGATGTGTTGATTAATATTACCAGACCGAATCAAAGGAGAGTCTTAAACAATTAACATGTTCTATGTTTGGCATTATAGGATAATTGACTATCAATTATTTATATTGTTGTTTCAGACTGATCATTTCACCTCTCATATAGCTAAAACTTTATTTCCTTGAAAAACAAAGGTTACGATGACTCAACTTAAATACATATTTATCAAAATTTAACATCAAACTAAGCTTGTATTTTAATTGCAAAACTTCACCTTCGTGTCGATTGTTAAAGAAAATTTACATAAAGACTGACATGATTTTTGTCAGATGATTTATTACTGTAATAACTGTTTTAAAAGAGATTGCAAACTAAATAAGTAAAGTGGTTTAATTTTTTTTGTAAAATAATCGCAAAATGTACTGTCGATTTGCTAACAATGAAAGCAAATAAACTAAAACATACGCAAATAAAGTTAATATTTGTGCAAATTAATTAAAACAAAATGTGAAAATGAATAGAAAAAAACACATTTATTGTTGTGCTATCCCGGCGCATCCACCATTTCATGTTGATTTATAAACGTGTCTATCGTAAAACAGGCAAATAAATCGTAAGCATGATTTTGCAAATGCATGCAGTCATTGTTTATTGTAATTTTGCAAGGTATCAACTTTGTAACCTTGTTTCAAATCCGTGTCATGTTCAAAAGAATTTGAGAGGAATTTTAGGTGAAGTAAATAATGATGATGTTTTCTCTGAAATTTCAATTCAGCGAAACAAAGGAATTGGATAATGGAGTATGTTAGCTCTCTTGAACCGTGCTAAAATTGGTATGATATAATCAAATAATGTTCATTACCTTTCCAGAGATATGGCGCTGAGTGCGGTGAGCTCAGCCCACGTGACTGGCGTCTTTCAGCATCTCACCGTCTTTCCTGGCACCTCCTGCATTCCATCAGGCCGACCCATAAATCCTGCAAATGACAAAATGAAAATTTATTTTGCAGTCATTTCCTCGAAAACTGATAAAAAATGCAAATTTCCAATAGAGTTATCCAAAATGTGGCGCTCGAGCTGGATTCATCGCGATAATACTCCTGCAAAACAAATTTTTGACAGGGACATAAATTATGATTGTGTTCCAAATGTTCCCTTTTTTCTTTGTCTTTAAGGGTAAGAAAGACTTGTTTTGCATTCGAAACAGCAGTTAAGGGAGTGTTTAGTGTTTTGTAAGTTAGAAATTATATTCAAATGAAAAAATTTCGATCGATTGGTTTAAATCCAGCCGCACTGACGCGTGCATTGTTGGAATTCTATGGCAACTTGCGGTCAAGTTAATTAAGTTCTGAAGACAATTCTGCGGTATCGGCTTTCAGGATCGTAGTCATAAATAATTCATTCATAGACTACTGACATCGAAGCTAACTTGTGAACGTTATGACAGTTTCAATAGGAGCCAATGTTAAAATTTGAATAAGGTATCGTCGCGTCGGCGAAAATGATTGGTAAATTCTGCCAATATTGGAATCTGTAACGAGTCTATACGTATTATAGAACACTCCATCCGGTATGCGTCTGGAGAGTGTATACGTTTACAAAATTGATAAGTCTGCTTGAGAATTACATTTCCTTGGAGAGTCATGTGAAACGTCAACTGTTGTTTTATGGAACCGTGATACGACTACTCATTTATTTACAGTAAAAGGCATTTCAAAGGCAACGAGAAAAATGCCTGTTTTTATGGGGATAAAATAATACTGAAACGTAAATTCTTTCACTTAAAATCACTTATTGAAACAGTTTTGGACAAAGCGCCTAGAAATGTTACAAAAGAAAATCAATAATTGTTGTGGTAAAAGTCTTTTGAGACTTTAACTGTTCTTGCAATTGTTGAATAAACTTTTACAGATAGGTGTTTGTCAGTTTCAATGAAGGGAAAATGTAAACTTTTAAAACTTCTCTACTGTGTAAATCTTATAAATAATTTGTTGCTTAATGAATCGAAACTGAGTTTTTATTCTCACCTGAGGATGACGAATTGTAGTTAATCGTGTTTTTGTTCATTATAACTAAATTATTTTTTGTCCGATAGCGTCAGTTTAAAACTCATTGATACATTGTTACACATTTTCTTTCATTATTGCTCGCTTTTCCTCAGTTTGTTTTGTTTTTTTTTTATTGTTATATCTTTCTGAGTTTTTTTTGTTCAGGGATTCGTTTTTGTGTCTCTTTTGGTATCATTAGTTGATGTAATCATTATATACATATCTACCAAAAAGACTTAAAACACAAATTTAGATTATTATTATCCAAGAGTAGCTGCATTAAATGTAGATGACAGAGTCATTATGAGTCATTATACCATCACAGAGAACTTTATATATTCTAAGTATTAGATGCACTTTATCTTATCCTCGCATCTTTGTCATTAGTTACATTTACAAAGGAGCACTATTTTTCAAGCGTTTTCACTCTGTTTTTTTTTTTTTTTATTCGGATATGTATTGCATCTTGCTTCCCAAAAAATAATAATCACATTAAACTAGATTCAAAATGCTAAGGTGCTATAAGGTATAGTTTAAAACTGAAAAAAACAAAATTCAATGTCATTTACAAATTGTCCCTTTTAAAGTAAGCAAAAACTCCTAATTTTAATTTTGTTTTTAGTGTTTTCGGTTTATAAATATTCCGGAGCAATTTTTATTTACCAATAATTTTATATTGTTTTCAAATATAAAACAAATGTAAAATAAACAAACATGTTATTAATGTATAAAAATATTCAGATAAAATATTTATTGCAAACTTTAATGCAAGTTTTATATTTACGTACCTATAATACATACGAGGAGTATTACATATTTCAGTTTTATTTATTTTATTTTTGAATTTATATACAAAAAAATATTAAATTTTAAGACTTATATGACTCAGCAGTATGTGAACATTTTGCTAGCAAGCTATTTTGAAAATTTCCGAGTTAAGTATTTTTATTTTTATAATCTTTGCTTGACATTTTGGCAAAGTTGTGGAACGAATAAACCACAACAAAAGCTGTTTTGTTGAATTATTTAGAACAAGACTTTCGACCAAATTGGAAATGTCACTTTAATTAAAATCTAAAAAAGTGGCCAATTACTTTACCCTACTTGTGCTTTAATTAATTTATACAAATGTTTGTTCTTTATTTTCTTTGTAAAAATAAAAAAAATCTGTTTTTTTTGTTTTTGTTACGACAAGAAGTTGATCTAAGCAGTGATATTGTCCTTCTGAAAAACAACTAGCTTATTTTGTAGTACAATATATCTCAATATCAGTCCAATAATTATAGTTATTATAGTAATAGAATCAAAATATGCAAATTTAAGACATTCATATACCACATTATGCATTTTAATATATTTCGTAATTTTCTTGCATTAAAATTATTTTCCTAGGTTGGTTAAAAGCCTGATTACATGTCGGCCCTACTTCACGCGACATACGTACTTAGTGGCTACAGTTTAATAAATAATTACCCAAGAATCTGTTTGTATATGCGACGGCGGCGGCGCTTAGAACAGGCCATTCGAGCCATTAATAATGTAGACACCGGAAAAACGCAGCGGTTTTGGGGCGTCGCCACATTTAACAAGAAGTATGCAATTGTTGAACAACTCCAAAACACTATGCACACATTTCGTCCAAGATAAATTAACTCGTTCATTAATATTCAGAGTAGGTGCCTCAGAGCGACGAAAATTTGAATTAAGACGAAACCAACTTCTGCTTTTGAATATTAAATCTCGAAATATGCTCAAGACTCGTAATCCACTAAATAAAAATTTTGACTTCTCTTTACATTAACTTCAAATTCACCGGAATCGATAGGATAAATACGCTCCTAACGACCATCTAACACGTGTTGGCTTTGATGAAAGGGAAAGTGCTTTGATTTGACGCAAGTATCAAGGGAAATTTAATTCAATGTGTTTTTTCACGACAAAGGTTTCCCAGGGTAAAAGAAGTCAAAGTTTTAACTTGTAGACCAAATGAGTAGAGACTTTGATATTAATAAATTAATAGCTCTACTACTCAAATTACACTTGGAAAAGATGGGACAAAATTTCAAATTAGCAACATCAAACAGCCAATTTACATTTGCCTCTTTGGTCCTGTTTTATTTCTAACACTCTCAGAAAATCAATAGCCAGGAAAATAGAACACAGTGGGGCATTTTGGGAAGAAGTGGTTTTTGTGGTTTAGAAAAACGAGCGCTCTTTCACGAGCTAATTAAAACAACCTCTTCGTCCATTGGCCCCTTTCTTATACAATGTGATGCATCAAAGTTTACCAAAAATGGTCAATATTTAATAATAATAATGACAATTTATGTGTCAATAGAGCTGTTTTAAGCTTTTATGATCCAAAAACCCAGAAAGTATCAATCATGGACATGGATGTGAAAATGCAAAGATGATTTATTTAGAATTTAATTTGTTTTAAACTACAAACTCTGTATTTTTTATTTATGACACCATTATTACCTAAAACATCTTCAATAAAGCACCTCATTTTATGCCATTAACGCCCTGGGCTGAATTATCGCAGAAAACAAGTTAATTGGGCTAGAATGGGCAAATTACGGCTATTAATCATACATTCTCCAAATCGGTAGCTTTTGCACTCCTCTATTCAGAAAGCGTGAATTGTGCTTTTAATAACGCTCGATTCTTGATGACCGCAGAAGTATTTTAAATATACATCGGGTGAAGGGAGGCAAAACACAAGTTGAACGCAATATTAATGGTGTTCCACCGACTCTATTACCATTATTCAAAATTCCCTTGGTCGTAACTACAAAACACTCGGTGAAATATTCTTCGTAATGTCAAGAGAGTACGGCGACAACTACGAAAAGGTTCAAACAAAACCGCTTTTATAAATTAGTTTAATGTTGGGCGGGATAATAATCACTTTCATTAATCAAAATTCTACCTGAAATGGAGTTTTCTTGTGATTTGATTCATTGAGCAAGTTTTGCGGAATGGAAAATAAGAGCTGCATAATCAAGCTAAAAGTTTAAAGTGCAGTGATTTTAATAAAATCAGAAATTTTAAAATTAAATGTAATAATGTTATTTATGTAGTCTCAGATTTTCATATGATAGAAATGAATATCTCAATTTCATTATTTGATAAAACTGAATCATCAAAAGTAACGTATTGGTGTATTCGCAAAATTGCTATGTTTTATAAGCGACAACCATTAATATTTTTCATAAATAGAAACGTTTTGAAATTGTCAAAAAGTTTTAATAAAAATTTGAACCTTTTATTGTTGTTATTTACATTTATTCAGGAGGATACATCGTTTTGGGGAAAGATCGTGATCGCAAGTCAGTTCACAGTGGTTCGCACCGGTACCCCAAACTGGCGAAGCTATTATTGCATAATAAATTTAATGGTTTATGTAAGTTTATGTTTGTAATTTTAAGGAAACAGCAATCTTTGGGGCAATATTTTATAATACTTCAAGAGCTCATTTCGGAAATATAAATCTGAGGTGTAATAAAACTGGCAGACTAAATTTTATATTCTGCCGTATTAAGTTATAAAAATCATTTATTCTTTTATGCAATAGCACAACTTTTGGTCACATTTGATAATGCAGAGAATAATCTTATCTTGATATCCGCTCCCTAAACCCATTCTGCGGACGTTTCCAATAAGCAACTTCAATTTGAAGCGAGTGACAACACAAAATCTATTTTTGTCCGGCTCTAGAACAGTTGGCAAGAGTTGGAATGATAGAGTAGTTACTCATCTCGTTCCTATTGTCTACTATCTTATTCGCAGCCACTGATGTGTTCCTGAAACAGACGTCGAAATCTGAATACAACTTTTTACCTATTGTTATCAACTCCAAACACATTCAATTGTCTTTAATAATGAGAAATTTATTTCATTTCGAAATTCACATTCACTCCAAATAT